CGCACGCACGCATTCTGCTTGCGTGCAGAACTCAAAGGACCAAGGTGCACGGCGCGCAGCGCCAATGCAGTCTTGTATATATATATATATACAATTATATAATTATATAATTATTGTTGCGCTTTCGGGGAAGTCTGACAAAACCTGTCAGAAGGCCAGGGGACTTCCGAGCCTCCCGAGAAGGCCCGCGCTGTCTCGCCCTCCCCCGGCTCGCCGCCGAGCCACCGCCCACGGCGCAGTCAACCCGCACTACAGCAAGGACCCTGACCTTCCAGGAGGGCTAAAAAAATAGCACCAGGACCTCGATATCTTAATTCCTCTCGACGTTTTAGGCAGACCAGATCGACGTTTTAGGCAGCCCAGATAGGTCCATAGGTCTGGAGGGCTATTTTTAGCACTCTGGAAGGTCAGGGGACGGGCAACCTTCCCAGGGGCACCCCGGCGGCCTCGCCCCCTCGGCCCACCCTTGGCCACTTCCGCTGGCCGCGCCCCGCTCGAGGAGCCTCGCACTCGGGCGCCCCGGGCCCCTGCAGTCCTCACCGCGCGTCCTTCGGATGCGGGCCGACTGCGCTGCACCTGCGCACTGTTCACTCCTACCTCTTCGAGAGTTCTTGGATTTTTGCAGGGGGGGCCAAGGTCCCTTCCTTCCTGATGGTTCTGTCCTGGGCCTCCTCCTGGCCACCAGGGGGCCAGGAACCATTAGACACGAGCAGCGTTAGAGATGAGCACGATGAGCAGTGAACGACGTGTAATTACCCTGTCCAGGGCCCGTCCCGTGCAACGGCATCGGCCAAGCTGGAGCTCCGCCTGGCGCCTCCTGGAAGAGGAAGAAAAAGAGAAAGAGGAAGAAGGAGAAGAAGGAGAAAAATAAGAAGAAGAAGAAGAAGAAGAGGAGAAGAAGCCGAATACTACTACTACTACTACTACTACTACTACTACTACTACTACTACTACTACTACTACTACTACTACTACTACTACTTCTTCTACTACTACTACTACTACTACTACTACTACTACTACTACTACTACTACTACTACTACTACTACTACTACTACTACTACTACTACTACTACTACTACTACTACTACTACTACTACTACTACTACTACTACTACTACTACTACTACTAATCATAATAATAATAATAATATTAATATTATTAATAATAATAAAATAATAATAATAATAATAATAATAATAAAATATTTATTATTAATAAGACTTATAATATATTAATAATCATATGAATGCTAAGACTAAGAAGTCTACTAATCATACCAAGGATTCCTCCGGGATTCCGGAGGATCCCCGAGTGCTTCTGGAGGATTCCCGCGGGGTTCCTGGCCAGGGCCCGTCCCGGGCCACGGGATCGGCCGCAAGAGACCTGCGCGACCGTCGAACGTTTTTGCTTGTGCCGTTTCTTCTTTTGCTCCAGATCACCCGCGACTGGAAGCTCTTGGTAACAGATGCCGCTCGCGCCAGATTCGGGTCGCGGCCGGAGGAGGGCGAAGTTTTCGGCAGCGAGGAGACGGCGCGTCGGGGTCCGAGCGAGGGCTTCGCCGGCGTCGACGGCTCGCTCGTTGTCAGAATTCGCGACCCGAGGCTGAGTTTCGGTCGCGATTGGTTCGTCCGCAGCGCTACCCGAAATGTTCGGCAACGGATGATTCGGGGAGGGCCCCCTGGGGGACGAGCATTGGCAGAACGAATTCCGCCCTGATTGTTGGGAGGATGGGGTTGGGCGAGATGACCAGAGCATCCGGGTTATCGCGTATGTCGAGCGTGCTCATTGCACTGTCGTGCCCCGAATCTTCCCGACCCCATCCTCCCAACCCGATAACCCAGACCCCCGACGTCGTGATTTTTTCACAGTGTCAACCCCCAGAGGTCTGGATGGACCCCCTCCCCGGGACTGGCTCTTTCTCCTGAGTCGTCTTCTGACGGTCCCGAGGCCTGGTAGTAGGGGCCCCCAGAGGCCGAAAATAACGAACAATTGGTCTTCGCGATGTCTTCACAGCGCGAGGAGGTCTGGGTAGTTGTCTTCCTGGCCGACGTCCTCACGGCGCGAGGCTGCCAGGGTGACCCGCGCCCAGCCATGGGCCCCGGGGGCTCTGGCCTGGCCAGGGACCACCGCGGGCAGGTGCCCCCGAGGCTGGCGCGCGACCCCCTCCGCAGGAACGAGGCGCCGCAGCGGCACGACCGCGCGGTGCAGATCATCGCGCTGCCCGCGGTGCTCGGCCACGCGCAGGGGGGGGGCACAGTCAACAGTCGGACAGGGGGAACATTCAAGAACAGTCAAAAAATAGTACGGGGACGATGTTTCGAATATTTGTTGGCTGGATTGAATGTTTTTTGACTATTTTTGATTTTTCGTGAAAAATCTCCCAAGAGGGGGACAGGCCCGACCTAAGCGCAGAGGGGGGGCACAGTCAACCCGCACAGAAAGTTGGGCAACCCTCCCCAGGGTACCTTTTCAGGCGAGCGCAAACATGGATCAAGGGGGCGTGGATTAGCGACGGGTCCCGTTTCCATGGCAAGTCGCGGATTTCCGCCGCCGGACGAGGCGGCACTGGCCGCATTTTTGGGAGGGCACCTCCCCCGATCCATGGATTTGGCGCTCCAGACCTTTGCATCCTTGCCCCTTCGGCCCATGCTTGGCGACTTTCGCTGGCCAACCTCGTTCGAACAACGCCAACTTGGCCCTCCAAGGCCCTTGCATCCTCACCGCGCATCCTTGTGATACGGGTTGACTGTGGTTTGGTAGCAAACCATGGGAGCCTCGTGTATCCTTCGCGATCCTGTCTTTAGAGTGCACTGGCGTCGATTAGCGTCTGGTCATCGATGAGATAGTGCCGATTTCAGCTTCGGTCAGCGTCGATTTAGCGTCGATGAGCTTCGGCTGGCGTCGATGAGCGTTGATTCGCAAGAGCCGACAAGATGGTATGAGAGGCTCCCACGAGATACCACCGAAGGGTAGGGGAAGGGGAAAAGACTTCTTGGCAGCTCCCCTGCTTCTCAGGAGGCGCGGGCCCTGTCCGTAGATGTCAGGCCGGCGCCTGCCGAGAAGCAGCCTCCTTCTCAGGGAGCCTTCCCCCCTCTCCCTCTGCCCCCTCGTGCGCGCCGCCGAGGTGTACGGCACGATGTGCCTGAGCGCCATGGCCCGCTGCTACCAGACCGTCGCGTCGGGCGTCCTCGAGATTGGCCACCGCCGGGGCGCTCTCGAGCTTTTCGGCCCTCGAGGTGCGAGGTGTTTTGGGACGCCCGAAGTGGGTGCGGAAACAATGGGTGCAATGCCCAACAACAGATGTTGCCCAAAACCAACAGCGGCCGCTGCCGGGCAGGCGGCCTTCTGTTTCGGGTGGACACGAGCCGCGGCGACACCGGCAGCGCGTCCTGCTCCAAACGAACAGGACTTCCTGTCAGTCTTTGTGCCCACTCTTTCCGCACCCACTCCGGTCGTCCCGATGTTTCCGGGCGTGGTCGCACGCCCCGAGAGGTTTTTCTCTCCCGCTTTGGGGGGGGCGTCTCCGCCGCTGCGCCGCACAGGCCGAGGGCTCCCCCCCCGGGGGGGGGGGGGGTCACCCGCTCTCGTCTCCGGCACGGCCGCCGGAGACGCCGGTGCCCGACGTCGGAGCCGGCCGGCTCGGCCCGAGCTGGTTTTCAGTCGGGCGTGTCCCTCGAAAGGAGGAATACGCAAAAGTAGTGCAAAGTAAAAAACAGAAAAGAGTCAGGGGACGTTTTTGTCGAGTATGGTTTGACTCTTTCGAGTATTGTCTGACTCTTTTGTTTTTTGCGTATTATTAATTTTTCGCCCAAGGTCCGCTTGTAGGGGGACATGCCCGACCCAAAGCTGGTTCCAGTATTCCGTCGATGCGATGCGGTCCGACGCTTGCATGGCGTTGACGTGTATCCTGCGGTGCTGGTCCTACTATCAGATCAGAGGCAACGACAGGGGGGGATAGGCATTGGGGGGATGCATCGACCACCAATCGCCCATCGATCGCCGATGGGGCCCGAAGGTCCCAACCTGCAAAGGAAGGTGTGGATTCACTATCGGGGGCCTATCGCCGATCTATCGGCGATGTATCGCCGATTCCAGGTCGATGCATCCCCCCCTATGCCAGTCCCCCCTATCGAAGCCCCTCCTTAGCGTGCAGTTGGGAATACGCCTATACACGCTGAGCGTTGCGCACTTGGCGTGCACCCTGCGTGGTCCGCACTCAGCGTGTGTATCGGCGGGCTGCCTCACCTGACCATACTTGGCGTGTGCGCCCCTGCGCTACTTCGCGTGTCAACGGCTTCGGTTTCGCATGGCCCGAACTCATATATATATATATATATATATATACATACGCTAAGAATAGGACCATGACCGTAGCACAGCCGGTCCGATCCCCTGTCCGACTTGATGCCGATGCAGTCCGACCCGAGGCACGTGGCTGCCCGAATCGATCCCCCCCCCTCTTTGAGAGGTCGAGGGTGGGCGAGTGACGTGTCCGATGCATCGATGGCTCTCGGGAATCATGATTCGCAGCTCGCCAGAGCAGCACGGCCGCGCAACAGCGCGCAGCTCCGCGCCACACCGCGCCGCACCGCGCCACCTCGCCACGGTGCGCTACACCACGCCCGCCACCCAGCGGCGTGGAGCGGCGCTGCGCAGTGCAGTCTCCCAAGTCGTTTCCCAAAGGCTCGTATGGACACGACGTAACCCCGAGGTCCGAGGTCGCGAACAAAAGTACAGAATCGTGTCAGAAAACTCGGCCGGAGCCCTGGACCACATCTTCATGCGGCGTTCTGGGAGCCAGCTCGATCCGCGAAGGTCCCCGGGCCCGAGGCGGGGCAACATTGCCCATAGCGAGAAGAAAATCGACGCCAGGATCTAGGGGGATAAGGAGTCGGGAGGACCGGGACAGGTGAGTGCGAGGGGTGGCGGCCCTCTGAGGCGACGGGACCGGCAACGACACCGCGACCGCGTACAACGGCCCCAACGCCACGGCGGATGCGATTGCCAAGGTGGCAGAGGTCGCGGACATCCAGAACATGGTCGAGGCCAGGAGCGACATCCGGGGGGCCACCAACATAAGCAAGCCTCGTAGCATCGCCCTCCTGAGGAGAGGATCGAGCCACGAAAGCTGTATCAACACGATTTTCCTCGCAGCTCCTCGTGGATCTCTTGGATCGGCGCTGGGCCCCCTGGCGCCGCCCCCCCCCGTCGCCGTCCCTGGCGCGCGGAGCGCGCCGGGGAGGTGGGCCCAGCGCCGATCCAAGAGATCGGCGCGGATCTCCGCGAACGCCTGCCTGTGCCCTGTTCTGTTTCGTAGGTAGGAGGGGAGGAGGGCAAACGTCAGGAAGGATGGCGGAGCCCAACCATCCCAACGTCGTGAAACAACACGACGGGAAGTTTTGGGCCGTTGTTCTGCCTCGGGAGGGCCTTCACCAAGCCCTGGGGCTGGTCAAAAGCGTTTCGGGATGAAACGCACGTCGTGGGAAGAGTGTAGACATCCAGGGGTCCACGTCATGAAAAAACATAGCATCGGAGGATGGGGAGGGAACGAGATGACGGAACTGATGCGGATGGGTCGGAGGGATCGAAAGGCAGGGAGGACATGAGTAGGTGGGGGGGGAGAGGAGGGAAAAGGAGGGGGCAGCGGTGGAGGAGGTCGATCTTTCTTCTTCCTCCTCCGACCTCTTCCTCCTAATCATCAGCGTCATCAGCATCTTCTTCTTGCCCTTCGCCCTCCCCCTCCTGCCCCTTCTGCTCCCCACGTCTCTCTGAAGCTCAGGAGGATCCCCCCCTCTCCTGGCTTCCACCTCTGCTCCTGCGTCTGTGACTGCTCCTCCTCCTCCGCGCTCCTCCTCCTTGTCCTCCTCATCCTTTCCGTTCTTGTCCTCCTTGTCCTCCTTGTTCTCCTTGTCCTCCTTGTCCTCCTTGTCCTTCTTGTCCTCCTTGGCCTCCTTGTCCTCCTTGTCCTGGACTGCTCCTCCTCCTTGTCCTCCTCCTCCTCCTCCTCCTCCTCCTCCTTCTCCTCCTCGTCCTCTCCGTTCCTCCCCTCCTGCCCGGCGGGCGCTCGAGGTCGGGCGCCACCAAGTGGCCCAGGAGGGGCACCCGACGAGAGATCGGCGCCCGTCGGAGAGCCGCGATCGCTCCAGGGCTGGACTCGGAGGGAAGAGGTACACCTTAGGCGATGCTTAAGAAGACTTAAGTTTTCGGCCAGAGTCTCGATTATTCTTAACGTTTCCATGTAAATCTTCAGATTTTAATAGAAATGTTGGGTTGTTATTCAAGTTCTGAGACTATGAATTTCTGAACCCATGATTTCTTAAGCATTTCGCAGGGTGTACACCCATGCCGCTGCCCTTACTCCAGATTTCGTGACAAAAGGGAGGGGGTCTGGACCCTCCAAGACAAGCCATTTCTCACCACCCACCAAACCACCCCAACCCAACCCGAAGGCTCAGATGTACCCTCGATTTCCAGTGGGGGGGGGGGGGTCGGGAAACATCGAACAAAAACACATGTGGAACCCTTACCCCCCCCAACCCGGAACTCGGGTCTTCGGGTTGGGTTGGGGTGGTCTGGTAGGTAGTCAATTTCAGACCTCCCCCGTGGGAGAACCCTCCAAAACATCGTCCCCAGACCCCCCCAGGCCCTCCAGGATAGCCCGGAAGAGACCCCCCTACCCTTACTCCAGAGTTCGTAATAAAGGGAGGGGGGTCTCGTTTCGGGGGGGGGTCTCTTCCAGGCCATCTTGGAGGGCCTGGGGGGGTCTGGGGACGATGTTTTGGAGGGTTCTCCCACGGGGGAGGTCTGAAATGGCTTGTCTTGGAGGGTCCAGACCCCCTCCCTTTTATTACGAAATCTGGAGTACCTCGTCGCAGCGGCTGGATGATCCTCGAGATTCTTGTCAGTATGCCCCCCCCGGGATAGGTCCAGGGAGTGCCGTGGAGACCCATGCCAAGAAACACCCTGCCGGCCTCCAGGGTGCCCTGGGTTTCCTGGGCTTCGATTGTTTCTGTTGTCAAAGGGCGTCCTGGGCCCTCATGGGTTGGGCTTCTTGTGGACGGCTTCTTGTGGTCGGGTTCTCCGGCTGTAGCGGCATCGGTGCCCTTCTGTCCCCCGTGATCGGTCCACAAGAAGACCTTTGGTATTTCGGCTTCTCGTTGCGTGAGTCTCCGGACCTCTCGACCTCCTTCCCCCCGCAGGGCCTCTTTGGTCTATCGCGAGCCTTTGTCCGGCGGTCCCCGGGCCCCAGGCGATCCTTCAGAGCTGCCGGATAGGGCGACCAGTGGGCCGGTTCGATTCCTGTTCGAGGCGCCAGATGTTTGGGCACGTGGTGCCAAAAAACTAGCGCGTCAGTCGTAGCGACACGAACGAGCCGACAGTGGTCCAGAATGGGCCGGTGACGAGCGATCTGCGCTGTCGGGAGGCAGCAATCGTTCCAGGTTGAACGGTCCGCGCCCAGACATAGAAGGTGCTTCGATTCTTCGATGCGCAGGCCCCTGGACCTCTCGACCCCTTGTCCAGGATCGCGCTGCTCATCCCAAGCCGTTTTTTTGTTGACGTCGTCCCGGGGCTCGAGGCCGTCCTCCAGGTGCCAGAAGTGACGACCAACCGGCCGCTGCGATGTTGTTCGAGGCGCCATATCAGGGCATGGTGCCAGAAACCAACTCGCAACTCGCCACGACAAGAAGAGAACTCTTTGCGTAGGCTCGGGGAAGTTTCTTCGCATGGGTGAAGGAGGGGGAGGCGTGGCGAGGCCTGGGAGGAAATCTGGACTTCGCGCAAGGCTGGACTCACTTGCACGCCTTTCCAGCCTAGGACTGCTTGAGAAGGCTTCGAAAAAAGGGGGAGGGTCCGAGTCACCCTGCAAGTGAACTTGCCTGACTCTGTAGTGAACGCCCTCCTGGGCGGCACTGGCAAACAGGAAAAAGAACCCTCCAAACTCAGTTCCACCGCCCACGGACCATCCCGTCCCCTTCCTCTCCTCCATTCTATTGACATCGCTCAGACATGTGTATTTTCTATGAGGGAAATTCTCAATGCCTCGCGCGGCGCGCAAAGGCTGTATTATCTATCCCACACGTCCGCCCCGTAGACATGGTACGACGCTCGCGCGGCAATGCTCCGACGTATATCCGACGTATATGCGACGTGGTTCCAGCGTAAATTTGGTCTCAAAATGCCGCGCGAGGCCTCCAAGATTTTCCTCAGGACATCTTTTCTCGGCGAAGACCATCGAGGAGCATCCTGGACCATCGAGCAACAAAAACGCATGCGAGATCGAAAAACGCACGGGGAATGGAAGTCCGAGCGATAGCGAGTTCTCTTTTTGTACACGTGCCCGAGTGCAAAGTAAAACGCCCTCGGACGAGTCGCGCAGTTGTTCGTGGCCCCACGGCATCTGCTTCTTCGTCGGGGACCTCTTCGAGGCGTGGGCCCTGTACCAGTTCGGGCAGCTCACACTCGACCTCATCCGGTCCCTCCGCGGGAGGAGGAGTGTCGAGCCCAGGCCTCCCAGATGGGGTCAGAGCAGATGGGGTCGGAGGATCGCGCCGCATCGCCGGTGCATCGGGGGTGCGGCTGGATGTGGAGCCCGATTTTGTCCACGTCGGCGTAGCCGATGCGTCGCCGACGTCGCCGACGCATCGTCGATGCATCGCCGATGCATCGGCGAGGCGGCGCGATCCTCCGACCCCATCTATACTCGGACCCCATCTAGGAGGCCTAGAGTGAGGAGGGCGAGGGAGGAGGGAGCAGGAGGAGAATGTGGATCCAACCATGCGCTCCAGCTTCCAGCTTCCAGCTTCCAGCTTCCAGGTACAAAAACATCCTTTGTCGAAGGTGCGCGCGGATTTCTTGGATCCGTGCTGGGCCTCTGGCGCCGCCACTGGCGCGCCCTGCGGGTCGGGGACAGGGTCCAGCAAATCTGCGCGGACCTTTTGCTCATGCAGAGCTCCCCTCTTCTGCGTTCCCGAAGAGGCAATCCTCCTCGTAGCGCTCGTCGGCCGGGCCTGAATTCTGCGATGCGACCGTTGCAACAGAGAATTCTCGAGCGGGTCTCTCAGGGGCAACGTTCGGGGTTAGGCTCAGGGGGAGATGCATCGACCCCCAATCGCCCATTCATCGCCGATAGGGACTCGATAGCCACCCCGCTCAGGATTCTCAAGATTCGCTCTCGGGGCACTACCGCCGATCTATCGACGGTGCATCGCCGATGCCAGGCCGATGTTGCCCTCCCCTGAGCCAGTCCCGTCCTCCTCCTCGACATAGTGCGACTAGGCGGTTCAGGAATGGTGTGGGGTGGTGGTGGTCGCGGCGCTCCGCTGAGAGGTGGACACTTGAATAGATATTCCCGGTTCGTCGTCGCCGTCGTCGAGGCCGCCAAGGCGCAGCCAGCGACCCAGACTAAATGATTACGCATTGAGTCGTCTCTGCTTGATGTCGTTGCCGCCGCCGCCGTCGTCGCCGTCGTCGTCGTCGTCGTCGAGGCCGCCAGGCCGCAGCCAACGACCCAGACGAGAAATGACAACGTATTGAATCGCTTCTGCCCGACGTCGACGTCGTCGTCGGCGTCGTCGCCGTCGAGGCCGCCAAGGCGCAGCCAGCGACCCAGATGTGAAACTACGTATCAAATCGTCCCTGCCCGACGTCGTCGTCGTCGTCGTCGTCGTCGTCGTCGTCGTCGTCGTCGTCGTCGTCGTCGTCGTCGCTGGCGAGGCCGCAAAGCCGCAGCCGGCGACCCAGACTAGAAGTAGCCGTTCGGAAGCGTACCTGGCCGATGGATCCATTATCTCGTCGCTCGGTCGCTTCACTCGGCCAAGAGGAGGAGGAGGAGGAGGAGGAGGGGGAGGAGGAGGAGGAGGAGGAGGAGGAGGAGGAGGAGGAGGAGGAGGAGGAGGGAGGAGGGGGAGGGGGGGAGGGGGAGGGGGAGGGGGGGGGAGGGGAGGGGGAGGGGGAGGGGAGGGGGAGGAGGAGAAGGAGGAGGAGGAGGAGGAGGAGGAGGAGGAGGAGGACGACGACGACGACAGCACCCCACTTCCGACCCGCCGTGGTGAAGGCCATTGCGGTGCCTTGCCGCGCAGCGCACTCGTGCCTCGGAGATAATCGCCCCGGCAGCTGCGAGAGACCACGCCGAGACTCTGCACGGGGCAGTGCCTGGATTTTCGGCATCGCTCCGTCGGAGAGCACATCTCCTCCTCCTCCTCCTCCTCCTCTTCCTCCTCCTCCCAGCGTGTCCCCGGTTCCGTTCGGCTCGTTTCGGTTCGAGGGAAATGAATTGGTTCGGTTCAATACGGTTCCGGTTTCGGAGTTGTTTGAGGCGGTTCCCATTCAGAGGGCGGTTCCGTTTCAGCCGGTTCCAGTTCGGTTCTCGGTTCTTGCAGATGAGGTGTGCGCGTGTGCGTCTACATGATCATATGGAGGCGTTTGGAGGTTCAGTTCAACCAGGAGTCAGGGGGAACCCTGGGGCCAGGGGAGCCACTGGGCCCAGCTACCCGACGAGCCAGGGGAGCCACTGGGCCCAGACGTTACGCATGGTGCCCTCGACGGACCAGGCGACAGCATCGTGCCCCCTGGACCAGGGGGCTCTGGCGACAGCGGGCGATTCCCCAGCGCCAGGATAGAAAACGCTTGGACTACGGTCAGGGACAGTACGGACCACTCACTCCTGGCATGGGTCATCCAAAAGGACAACTGGGAACGCAAGGGCGCCGCCCGCGCCCTCGCCGGGCGCGAGCAGGATGGTGGGGGCCCAGCCCCGGCCGCCGTCCCCAGTTCGGCCCTGGAGGCCCCGAGGGCCCCTGGAAGCCCAAAGCGCATTTTCGAACCGTCCAAAAATGCGATTTCAGCTTGTCCGCCGCCCTTCCGTCCCCAGTGCAGCCCTGGAGGCTCCGAAAACCACTTGGAGGCCCAAAGCGCATTTTCCAACCGCCCAAAAATGCGATTTGCGCTTTTCCGCCGCCTTGCCATCCCCAGAGCAACCTTGGAGGCTCCGAAAACCACCTGGAGGCCCAAAACGCATTTTCGAACCGCCCAAGAATGCGATTTGAGCTTTTCAGCCGCCCTTCCGTCCCCAGTGCAGCCCTGGAGGCTCCGAAAACCACTTGGAGGCCCAAAGCGCATTTTCGAACCGCCCAAGAATACGATTTGGGTTTTTCCGCCGCCCTGCCATCCCCAGAGCAGCTTTGGAGGCTCCGAAAACCACTTGGAGGCCCAAAACGCATTTTCGTACCGTCCAAAAATGCGATTTGAGCTTTTCCGCCACCCTTCCGTCCCTAGTTCGGCCCTGGACAAGCAGCAAAACAAAACGAGGGAATTCGGGGGCGCAGGGGAGGAGTTGGGAGCTGGTGGGATGGACCTAGCGCGTGAGTGGGCGCTCGCATCGGGCAGTTCCCAAGGGTCCACCTCCGCGACCGGTTCCCCGTTCGGTTTACGGTTCGGGCCCGGTTCGGTTTCGCCGCTTCCGGTTCGGTTTGGTTTCGGTTCGCGTCGGGTTTTTGACGGGTTCCCGTTTCGTCGATTTTCCCGCGGTCGGTTCGGTTCTGCGGTTCGCGGTTCGGTTTTGTGGTTCGTTGTCCTCCTCCTCCTCCTCCTCCTGATGTTCCTCCTTTTCCTCCTCCTCCTCCTCCTCCTCCTCCTGCTCCTCCTCCCCCTCCTCCTCCCCATCCTCTTCTTGTGGCGTTGCTCGGGGGTGGTGTCATTAACTTTCTGCTCCATTCACTGGAGAACGCACCTCAGCTGACGCCCCAGGTCCACCATCGGGAGGGGAACCAGCGACACGGATCCCCACGAGCGCGAGAAGGATGCCGCGGCGGGGGGGGGGGGAGACACCGACGAGCTGGGAAGCGGGAGGGCAAGGAGGAGGAGGAGGATGAGGAGAGGAGGAGGAGGGGCGGAGGAGAAGAAAGTTCCCCTGAAATCCCCGGGCGTTTTTCAATCTTCTCGAGCTGGACTTTTTCGTTTGGTTGCGGGCCCCATGGCACGGAAAACCACGGAAACGACACCCTTTCTTGCAAAACCGCATTTTTGTTTTCTGCGCTGCAGGAGGGTTTGTGCCTGGGTTTGGAGGGGTCTTGCAGGCTTTTGCGGCCTGTGCCCGGGCTTATTTGGGAAACGCTGCAGTGCAAAATGTTGTTCGTGCCGCCGTCTGGAAACATATGTTTCGAGGGATGTTGGGTGTCCAGGTCTAGAGGGTCAGCCCTGACCTTCACAGACCGATCCAGCTCGAAAAACGGAGCAGAAAGATGGGGTCCGATGCTTTGGTCGTGGTTCTGCATGATGGTGCATGCATTCGCCACGTCGAATCTCAGGGGCCGGAGCCGCTACCCGTCCCTCGTTGCCCGTCCGGGCGCGGCAGCGATACCGCTGCCCGTCCTTCGCTACCCGTCCATCAAAACCGTTTCCCGTCCCCTGTTGCTTCGGAGCGGTGGAGATATTGGTACCCATCCCTCATTGCTACGGCCGGGTGCGCTTCGAAGGCCCGGTCAGAGCGC